CAGCCGGCCTCTCCACCGAGAATATGCAGATTCATCTCTACAAGGTCCTCTTCAGAGGATGTGCACTTTGAATCCGCCAGCTGCAGCCCCTGCAAACGCAGTCGCAATCGACGCCGCACCGTTTCAACAAGTGAGGCCTGATCCATGAAGTTCGCCAGGGGTTGTGTAAGAATCGTACACTGCGCGAGGCGTACCTAAGATTCTACAATTCTACATTCAATTGCTCACGATTAACTTCCGAATATTCCGAATGAATAACTTCTAGGATTCCAGGATACCGGGATACGGGATACGGGATACCGGATACCCACCAAACTACCAAACCTACAAAGCTTTCTCGCTATCAAAATCAGTCTCGATTATGTCTGGCTGACTCAGCAACCGCAGCACTTTCCCCATTCTGACCTGGTGCTTCAGGGCCGGAGACAAGTCCGGATGGTCGAGGTCCAGAATCTGATCCTGAAGCAGTTGGTCGTCGTTGTTCTGACTCATGCAAGCAGCATACACTGACAGCAGAAGTCCATGTATGCAAAGATTGCGAAGGCAATAGGCTAGTGCCGGTTCCATGTGTTTCCAGCGATATAATAGTGGACAAGCAAACAAGCGCCCCATGCTTGTGGCCAAAACTTGTCGAACACGAACTTTGGTCGTGCGTTCGTCACTGCAACAGCCCGGAGCGCACCAATGGGTGAGAGAACCGTCAGAATCGCAGACAACATCCCAATCGTTATTCAGGACAACAAGCAATTCTGCCTGTTCTTCTTCAGTCAGGTCACAATGGCACAGACCCAATTTGCATTCATTCTTTCTCCTGTAGTCCTGCACCGTTTGCGGCAAAACGGCCACAACCCGTCTCTTGGCCCTGGCAGCTAGACGATCCAGAACTGAATCCAGGCGTTGCCTGAAGAGGGTTGATGAGAAAGAATGAGCCATTCTCACGAGTCCTGCACGCAGCAATTGGACGAAGAATCAGAAGTCTATTTGGGAACTCGAAACCGAACTAATCAACAATGGACCATGGACCATATATTTTTTAATAAGTATTATTAACCCTGGATCACTGGACCACGAACTCCTGACGCAACTCCATCCGCAGCCAGTATGACAGGCTTCTTTGCTAAACAAGCTTGATGGTGAGCGCAGTAAAAATTGATCAAAGCCAGCTTCGTGTCTGTGGACTTCTTGAAGGCCTGTTGGTCCAAAGCCGCGCAGCAATGATTTGCTGGAAGGGAATCTGTGCCTAGGCAGCAGTGAGCTCGGACATGTACTACGGGTGTCACATGGAACTGGAACCTACGGCAACCGACCAGAAATGTAAATGCTGCCGACAAGCAGGTGGCAAGAATCTTGAAAGGGACAGAACTCCACGCTGTCTGCGTCTCCCCACCACCCATTTGTGGAGATTGTTTTTCGAGCGACAGTACAGACCATCGCTGAAGCCTGGAATATAATTTTTGCGTGTTTGCTTTTGGCAGTACTTGCGCCGGGACGTGGATTTGGGCCATGTCAATTCTCTGCCTCTCCGCTGATAAAGATGGAGGCAGTCGCAGAAATATCCGCTGTATCATGCCGAGCAAGGGGCTGACTTTGCGTTTGCCAGCTCGTCCTACCGTCAGTTTCTCTTTGCTGCCCGGAACAGCTTCAGAAGCGTCTTGAGCCGCCTGAGTTGCCTCATCATGCTCCTTCTCATGCTCATCGCCTCCATCTCCGGAGACATGCTTCTGGGGATGTACCCAAACATTGGTATCATCGAAAATTCTGACTATAACAGCATGACGCGGGGTTCGGGCAACGAGCCAGGACAACAGCGCTTTCCGTTGAGCAATGAAATGGGAGACTACGCCGCGCTCCTTGATTGCCTCCAGGTTGCGCTCTGCCTGACGCAACAGCTGGAAACAAGCAGCGTTGCCGTCCTCCTCCTCAAAAAAGCCCATGTCCAACCTGAGTTGTTTTTTGGCGGTGTCTGCCTTGCGCGTTCTCGGGAGGGTACTCTCTAGAAATGGGAGCACAAACTATGAATCTGAATCATGCAAGTGGCACTGAACGTGAGTGCGCCGAGTGTTTGCCACGGCTGAAAGTTGAAAAGCAAACCCTAGCAGTATCCTGGTTCTTGGTGAACATGGCCTTTCTCAATGCGCCAGCTCCGTCCACCTGCTTCTGGGCCAAAGCAACTTGAATCAAAGCGCCATGTTTGGCACCACACGACCACGCCCGCCGTGGCGCAGCCTCCTCTGCCCTTGGCCGCGCACTAGCCCCTTCCCCGTTTTGCCGTCTTCGAGGCACTAGAGACTGACCCACCATGGCTGTATACAGACCCCGTAGCACAGACATGGCGCCGCAGTTCTAAGCAACGCTCAAAGACAGAGATGGTTGAGGCCATGACTAACCCCAGGATAATTCATGACACGTCAACTGCACCAGAAAACTGCTGAACCCTGAAACCCTAACTTTGCGAAACATCTGGAGCCTGGCATCTTGGCTTGAAAACATCCACAGTCACTCGAGTCAAGCCATGTCGAAGACTCACGCAGCCATGCCGTTTTTTGGGGCTTTGGATTTTGAGGGGAACTCTAAGCCATGCGCCGGCCTGGTAGGTAGCATCGGCCGCCGTGCGGCGGGACTTCTTGGCCAATCCAATCACGTTCTCCAACACGCATATCCTAGCGTGACATTTTTGCGCGGTCACTCAGTCACGAAATCTCTGAACAGATATCACATCAGCGAATCGCAGCTGAGAGGCTTGGGGGTGTAGGCTCGAGTAAACCTCGAAGTCTCCAAGAAAGATAGCGCCTTAAATTTTTGGCCTCAAAAATAGGCGAATGATAAAATGTGCAGCTCGTGTCTGCGATCCTACGACAGCATGTCTATGACAAAGACAATCCAAGTAACCGTCTCACCACTTACTGACAACGTTGCCGGAGGTGTATCGTTTCGTCGACTCCTGCGAGTACAACTTGCACACGAAGCCGGCCGTGAATATGTCCAGGTCCAACATATCCTGACAAAAATTGGCGCTTGCAAACTTCTAGGGACAAGGAGTCGAGATGAGCTACGGCTACAACAGAAAGATCGAGAATTAGGCGCGGCACCTTTGTTGCGGGGAGAGGATCACAGTGAGCTTCATGCTTGGAGCATCGCCCGCCCTTCCTGCGTTGGTGTTACACTGCTGCGTAGTACGGCGTGACATTGAAAACTAGAAGTCCAACCCTGCCTTGCGAAAGTCATGCTATTCCAGCAGTGTTCCACGCTGTGATTCATCAAGAACCATTTCTCGTAGGAGCCTTGGATGACATGAACTGAAACGCGACACTCTATCTGGCTTGCCAACACAACCGTTGCAGCGGAGTCACGTGAATCTCTGATGAAATCATCTCGCGGAAGTTCGCTGGGCTGACCAGCTGGCCAAGCGCATGGCTGGGTGCCCCCGTGCATGAACAAGCGGAAGCGAAAGCCTCAGATACAACAATCTACAAAGAACGTGCCTGCTGACTGATATTCCTGAAGGGATTGTTTACTCTCTTGCTGACGGATGGCGAGAACATCATCTAGCGGCTGCTGGAAACGCTCCATGGGGATGTCGAGAGCCTTCAAGAACAGCGGCGCCCACCGGATGAAAGGAAAGGCGTCGTGGCCAGGGTCAGGGCCCATCCTCGGGCACGTGGGCAAAGCCAGAATTGCAATATTGTCAATATTGTGAAAAAATCGCGTCATGAGTGCAAGCAAGCTGCCCATCCTCAGGATTGGTACCCACACTTGGCGAACTTTGGCCATGCTCCGACAACCTTAAGTCAAGGGAACTGCAACCTGCAAGATGCAAACAGCTACAAAACGTTCGCATTCATGAAACAATGCATTGAAGTTACTCCTCCTCGGACTCTTCATCCAAATTTGACGATGGCGAGCGGGAAGGCGACCTCTACGAAATGAAACAGGATCCACAGGTAAACATGGGCCACATGGACACGTGGAAGTCACTAATTGCATACCAGCAGCGTGTTCCTCAGCCGTTGGAACAAAGAGGACCTTCTTCTCGATCGGGAGCGTTCTTCCGAAGACCTTCAGACTGCCACAAGGCAACGTGGACGAGGGCCGTGCAAAGCCGTGAACAAACCCCTCTCATTGCGTGCCAGCGGCTCAGCTGCTGCTTCATCCTCCACGCCACGGCGATAGAAGTTCGAAAAAGCCATGGCTTAAGACTAGACTATCATCAATTTATGCCTTGGTACACTTCTCGATTTGCGCATGTCATCCCTGCGCAGGGAAAATGCCAACCTTCTCTGTATCGTTCCAAGTTTTTCGGATGATCCCTGACGGGGCGGTGCAAACACCATGTCCGGCCCTCTTGGGTGTGTCCGAGCCAGCTTTACAGCACCTGCCTACAAATTAGAATCTTGATATTCAGCACCTGCTATTGCATCCGACAACCCCGCTCTACACCAATTTCCTATCCCCAACAAGGCCCCTCTACACCAATTTCCTATCCCTAACAACCACCCTCTACACCAATTTCCTATCCCCAACAACCCCCCTCTACACCAATTTCCTATCCCTAACAACCACCCTCTACACCAATTTCCTATCCCCAACAACCCCCCTCTACACCAGTTTCCTATCATCTCATCCCTCACGACAGAAATTCCGCACCTGCCTTTGCACCTTTTCTGAATATCCGCAACCCCCTTTCTGCACCAATATCCTTAAAACAAGTGTTAAGCATTACACCACCTGTTCAACGCCTAATTCATCTAAACCGTCTACGGGGCACCTAGCAACCGCAGAGAGCGTTTTGAGCGACAGGGATTCTGTGAGGGCATGGTGGAACGAAGCCCTCGATGCTATGTAGGCTAGATGTTGGGAAAACTCGCAACTAATTGATTGCATTAGGGATCCAGGCTTTTGAGAGTCAATACTTCAGCCCGATATCACAATCATGCATGGTCTTGTAAAAACAGCAACCAACTGATCATACTATCCACGCGCAAATTCAGATCTTGGCGCACCCCTCGTTTGTTGGCTCCACACCAAAAGCGTCCAAGATGAGGTGGAGATCATCAACTTCTCCAAACCCCTTGCATGATGCAATTGATCCACAACAGTGCAGGCAAGACATAGGCTGCTCAAGCGTGTCACATTTGAGCAGCACATTCAAGACTATCTGTTGGTAGCCGACCAGCCCGGTTTACATGCTATGTGCCTCGAAGTACTCTCGCAGCTGCTTCCGTGTCATGTCCTGCCTGAAAAGCGATGGATTGCGACTGCGACTGGCCGTTTACAACTGAGAGCAAGGCAGAGGTAAGTTTCGAACCTTAAGAGGATAACATCACCATGTCAGCTGCACGTGCAATGGCCAAGGTAGGGATGACACATACAATTCGCGGTCTTCAGGTCCAGGTAACACCTCGCCAGCGCCAGTGACTGCAACCAGATGCTCAATTAATGGCAGACAGCTCGAGCCTCCGCAGGTCTCCGGCTCAGTGCTAACTGGTCAACAAAAATGCTGACCTGGAAGCTCCCATCCTGGGCATGTTGCGTTGCTCAATGCGCTTGGCGATATACATCTGACAGAAGCAAAAGAGGCTCTAGCCTTCTAATCCCCTCTCACGAACTCCCCATCACAACCTCACCCTGGTATGCACATTATTGCACATTCGGCGTCTTGGGCTTGCCAAGCAGATGCTTAGCTTCTCATTCCACAAGACTCTTTTGCCAGTTTCCAAGCAGGGCCCTGGGTTGCTTCTGGGAAGCTCTCGAATTCCCCTCAGTTCTTGGGGTGGGCTGACTAGCACCATGCCAACGAGAGGGAAGCCACTGTGCTCTGGCATGTACTTTCTGCGCGAGCATGCGAACAAGTTTTCATGCGGCAATCACTTCAGGACCGCTTTGATAGTGATTCATGCTGGGGAATGACCAAGCACGTGGCCGACCAGGATCTGCTGTGCCATCGGTGGCAAGCCACAATGCACTCCTTGCCATGCCAGTGTTTGCACATTCCTGCATTTGTTTAGCGCGAATGGAGCCTCAACAAGATCACCGTCGCCAACCTTCGTCTGGTGCAAGTTTGTCACGGCCTAGCAGCAAGCTTCGCAACTCCAGTTTCTGCCCTATTTGGGCACAAACCTGTCCAGGGTATTGATGACAGATTCCAGAGGCGTGATGCTGCCGGACACGGCTGAGCAAACCGAGAATCTTAAGCAATCATGTTCTTCTGCTGCTTGCATCCATCCAACATACGGATGGCTTGCCAATTCTCTGTACGTGAGTGTGTGTGTGTGTATATACGTATATATACATGTGAATATAAACATATCAGTATGCACAGAATGTCCTAAGTCAAAAGGCATGTAGTTTTCATGCAGCATTCCATAGACGATCTTAACAGTTGCGTACAATTACAACTCTTGACTGCAAACCAACCCCTCAACTAGAAGCTAAAGGCAAATGCCTCCACGCACGCCCACAGCAAATACGTTGCTTACGCACACACGGCGACAAAGTACATCCAGCCTTGTCCATGGCCTGATTGTTGCGCAGCTTCACGTACGCAAGTCGTCCCGAGGACCGAACCTGCTGATGGGAAGCATTCACTTCGTCCACCATGCAACGCCATTCCGAATAGTCCCAATGGCAGCACGCGAAAGGCATGTGCCATATGGTCGCCCCTAATTATGGAGCTGCTGTGGGTACAGCTTGGATTTAGGAACTATAAAGAAACCGCCTACCAGTACCTCACCAGGCTTGGAATCTGATGTCGGCTCAATCTCGATGCATAGAATCATGCAAAAGACCTTTTAAGGGCAAGCCTGCCTGACCCGACACGCTCGCGGGTTGGGTGTCTTTTTCCTGACAGGCGAAAAAGCCAGCAGACGGGCAGCCACGGAGCAAAGATAGTGGTTCAGCATCATGATGACGTAGACGGGACAACTTTGCCCCACAGAAGCAAAATATCTTGAGGGGCAAGCCGAGGCCAACGGAAGATAGCCAGGTCGCCAGCACTTCAATGCAGAAGGTGGAGGGAAGTTGAATTGAACAACCGAGCATCATGCTGCTACACTTCAATATTTCCTACATATCATAGTGGACATGGGCCTTGTTAGGGACTATGTTGGGGACAATACTAAACTACAAGAGGGACCCCTATGTCCACTATTAAGGGTCGCTTGATTAGGCCCCACAGAAGAGGAAGGTTTGATGCAATTGGCATAAATGGTGTTTTTCGCACTAGGAGGAGAGAAGTTTCATGCAACCATCATGTCTCGCACCATGACATGCAACTGCGATGAACACGGAAGAGGAGGGAGGTATCATGGAACCACCAGTCATGATGTTGTTTGTAACACGGCTGCGCACATGTATGCAGCAGAGCAAGCACAAGTAAGGCAACCAATCCACCTAGATCCCTTATACAGTCAGCGTTTCAAAACCTATTCGAACCTCCACCAGAGCTTCTGGCTTCTGTGACAAAAACCTCACTAATGTTGGGTTCGCAATGGTAAATAGGTTCGTAATGGAGCGAACCTTTGGCTGAACGGATTAATAACAATTAATGGATACGTACCAATTAGACCGAACTTTTAATGATCCCGGCAATGGAGAGGTAATTGACAGAGCCCGAGACCCCACGACCCGGATTACTTAGAATCTTCTTCTTATTTGCGGGGTTCAAAACAACGAACCCCCCTTTAATTTGTATTCATGAGCCAGATGTGCTTTCAGCATGAGCAAGTCCTCTTCCTCAATGAAGACGGATGACAGCCCACCGAAAGGAGCGAAGACAAACCTTCACACAGCTTTCTGCAAGCGCAAGAACCCGCTGGCGCCCGGCACCCTCTTTCCAGTTAATGACAATCCAGCAGTCTTTGTACAAAGCTGTACAACCATTGCCAAACAAGCAACGGCACTTTCCCTTCTTGAGGCCATCTTTCATGGCCCCGTGGTATTTACATTTTTAACATGTCTCGTGATGGCCAGTGGCGGTGGCGAACCTCAGCTCCACGCTGCAACTCTGAAAATGCTTGGCACTCCGGCCACCGCTGAATTTGCCAGGCTCTGGCCAACATCGCATTCGACGCCACAGAGAATCCTGGGTAAAACAATTCCCACAACAAGCATCAGGATCGCTAAGCGTGGAATATTTTTTGCAATGGCTTCCACCACACTCCACTGACCCCTGCGTGGGTAGCACAGTTTCTCACTCTTCAGGAAACCTCCGGGACCCCGGTCGTTTGCGGCTGGATGGGGGTGATCTGTTTGATTGTAAAAAGCAGGCGTATGTCTCAACGCTGCAGTTTTTACATGAACTTTTGAGGCGGGTCGCTTGCTTGTAGTTCTACTCTAAGTAGGAGATGGTGCCCGCAAAAGTCTTCTGCATATTCCAAATCCAGCAGGCACCGGCTCGTAGGCGCTTCTGCCAAATATCTGCTTGCACTTTAGCTTCAAGTAGAGGCAGTCTTGGAAGATGCGCGTGCCAGGCATTGCCGACAGCCATAAATCTGAACATCTATTGCCCATGGGAGCCACCATGCTCCCGACAGTTTCCCTGTTTCCATCGTTTCTTTCCACGAAAACTCCTGGAACCAAGATGAGGATGATCGCGCCCTCACCATGAGTTCAAAAACCGGATAACCCCACCCCACATGTGTAGCTTTACCGGAATCTAAACCAGATACTGAAAAAGAGAAGAAAAACAGCGTAAAGACAAGATAGCGAAGACTAGGAGGAATCGCAGCGTATACGCTGCATGGAGGTTAGAGCAGGAGCGCAAAGCAATGTGCATGCAGCAGCGTACGTGAACATGGACTACACCCGAGCCGCGCAGGGATGTAACCACACGGCTGCACCTTTCTTTTCCTCCAGGCCCTTACAGGCGCTGCAGTCTCATACTGGCGGTCTGCCGCACCTCCCCATCCCGGGTTGTGCGAGGCCACACCGGATGCCAATTAGGAATCTTCGCCAAGCAGAAGCTTCAAACATCGCAACTGCGCGGATTCGAAAAAAGTGACCGCATGATGGACGCACTTCACACAAGTAGATTCCCATTCTCTCAAGGCCGATCGACACTGCAGCACCAGCTCCTTCAGCTCCACTAGGCCCTGGCGCTGGAGCTTCGAGAAGAGCATGAGGAGCCTACCGAGCCACGTGCGGGCGATGCGGCAATCTGAACAGGGGACTCACCTCGTCCGGAGCACTTTTCTTCTGAATTTCCAAAACACGGTCCGACTGCCCGCGCTAACTCCAGTTGATCAGCTGCAACTGACTCTTCCAGCGACTCAAGCCATGTCAAGCCATATACACTGAAAGGCTTGCACTCCAGAGTCACACCACGCAAGGAGTCCTAGTTTTCATCCATGGAACCGAGGGCAAAGGCGCAGGCCTCCTGATCGGAAATGTGTTCCCGCACGCCTCGCAAGCTTTGGCATCTTGCCGAATGGGATGCCGAGCGAAGCAGCGCCAGCTCCACGTACTCCAGAGAAGTCCCAGTATTCCATAACATCAGGCAGCGCAGCGCGAACAAATAATGAAAACGGAACACAATTCCGAACAAGTTCGGCAAGTGGTGGAGCACTTGCACCTGCCCGCCCGAAGCCGCTTTTGCCACCACGACAACTCTGTCGTCAGCGGCGTCAGCGGAAATCACATACTGCGAGAAGGACTCGAAAACCATCACATCCGAACCATGCTCCTTGCAGTTCTCAGAATTCTCTGCCTTAAGGCAGCCTGGGCCGCTTGTCATCCCGACTTGTCGGCCTCTTGCAACGAAAAGCCGATGGAAGCACGTCCACACGGTCAACAATGTGCGAAGGGCGCCGGACAATCCCGACCTACCTCAGCATGAAGAGCAGCTTGTCATTTGCGTGAGCCTCCTGGGCCTACTTAAATTCAGTCTTTGACGGATCACACGGCGCCGCGGGACTTGTCCGTGCCTCGATCCCGCACATACTTTTCACAGACTTCCTGCCGCAAGCAAAAACAGATGACGTTCTCGCTGCTGCAGCGTGAGCTGACAAGTTTGCTTCTTCGCATTCTTGCTGTACACGTGCACGTACGTGTCCAGTTCGACCGCTGCGCAAAGGGCACCTGACAGATCACTCGGCCGTTCTTGCGGCGTGAGCTGTCTCAGGATTTCCGCGGTGGCGTTGGAACTGCGAGCCCACTCAAGCGCTATCCCCTCCGGATGGTTGGCCGTGCCTCGAAGATCGGCACCTCTCCGCAGCTAATACCGCAAACACATCTTGCACTTCTTCGAGGCGGCCTACGAAAACAAGTAATGCTCTTGCTCGCTGGACTCCACGCGCGCCAAGCGCCTTCTCAGGCTATCCTCGTGCACATGAAAAAAGGCATCAGCGCTAGCATGCTTCCTTGCACAGAGAAATCAAACAGTCAACCATCCGCCATGACTTACATCAATCACTCGAACACATGGACCACTTCTTGCTCTCCTTGAGCCAAGAGCAAAGCTACAGGACTACCGGAGAATTATAGGTGTCAGGGCGAAATAACCGTAAAAGCGGAAAATCTGAAGAGTACTATTTGAAGGGTATTAGGGCGAAATGATCTAATCGCAAGAACGGAGAATTTGAAGGGGACTAGGGCAAAATAGTCTCACCGTAACAGCGGAGAGGAGTTTAAAGGCAATTGAAAGAATCTGGAAGAGCAGTTTAGAGGCAAATTAAAGGAGCGCCCGAAATGGCGCCGTGAAGGTCTAGAAGAGGCGTTTAAAAGCAATTTGAATGGCCGGGAGGGTCTAGAAGAAGAGCTTAAAAGCGATTTAAAGCGACCCGAAATGGCGCGGGGAAGGTCTACTACAACAGTTTAGAAGCAATTGCGCCGCGCAGGTCTAGGTCTTTGAAGGCACCGGAAAGGTCCAGAAAAGGAATTTGAAGGCAATTTAAAAAGGCGCCAGATGTCGAGAAGAGGAATTTAAAGGCAACTTAGAAGGAGTTTAAAAGCAGTGGAGAGCACGAACCGACATGGCGTCGAGAGGGTCTATAGAGGAGTTTTAAACAAATCAGAGGGCGCCGGGATGGTCTAGAAGCCAAATTTACATATTAAAGCAGTGGAGAGCGTGACCCGAAATGGTGCCGGGGAGTTTAGAAGAGGAGTTTAAAGGCAATTTAAATGGGCGCCGGGAAGGTTTAGAAGAGGAGTTTAATGGCAGTTTAAAACGAGTTTCAAGGCAGCGGAGAGCACGACCTGAAATCGCGCCGGGAAGGTCTAGAAGAGAAGTTCAAAAGGCATCAAAAGGCAATTTAAAGGGCGTCAGGAGGGTCTAGAAGAGGAGTTTAACTGCAATTGAAAAGAAATTTAGAAACAGTGGAGAGCGTGACCCGCAATAGGTCCAGGAGGGTTAGAAGAGAATTGAATGGCAATTTACATAGCGCAGGGGGGGTCTAGACCAGAAGTTTGACCCGAAATGGCACTGGGATGGTTTAGAAGAGCAGTATAAAGGCAAATTAAATGCAGTGTGCCGGGAGGGTCTAGCAGAGGAGTTTAAAGGCAAATATAGGCAAGTTACAAGCAGCCGAAAGCATGTACCGCAGGAGTGTCTAGAGTTTAAAAGGCGGCGGAGAGCGTAACCCGAAATGGCGCCGGGAGGGTCTAGAAGAGCAGTTTAAAGGCAAATTAAAGGCAGTGGAGAGCGTAACCCAAGATGGCACCGGGAGGAGGAGTTTAGAGGCAATTTAAAGCAGCGGAGAACCTGACCTGAAATGGCGCCGGGAAGGTCTAGAAGAGCAGTTTAAAGGCAGTGGAGAGCGTGACCCCAAATCGCGCCGGGAGAAAGAGTTTAAATGGCAATTTTAAACCAGCGGAGAACCTGACCTGAAATGGCGCCGGGAAGGTCTAGAAGAGCAGTGGAGAGCGTGATCCGAAATGGCGCCGGGAGGGTCTAGAAACGGAGTTTAAAGGCAGTGGAGAGCAAAATGGCGAGCCGAAATGGCGAGCCGAAATGGCGACGGGCGGAAGAGTATTTGTCGGTGGCGGGGGATTGCGGCCGCAAAAAAACCTACCTGAACAGGAGACGTTTTGCTCTTAATAGCACCCTACCCCTTGTCGGAGATTGTCAAAAAAACGTTTGTCGCACAACCAGCAAGGCATTCCACAGACCTGCTGGCGGGCCAGTTGCTTTTTCGAGGTATGGCTTATTTAGGCGTGGCTCGCTTAGGTGTGGCTCAAAGCCCCTGCTCTGGTCCCCTTCCCCTACTCCCCTTGGTCCGGCGGTCACCTGGTCCTCTGGTCCCCTGGTCGCTTGGTCCTCTGGTCTTTGGTTGCGGCCCTTGGCAGGTTACGAATACTGCACATTACAGCATTTGGAGCTTTTGAAGAGCTAGGAACACTGCAAATTACAGTGTTTGTGGTTCTTGAGATGCTACGAACACTGTCAACTTTAAAAGCCTGGAGAATTGCAAATCACAATGTTGGCGGCTTTTGAAAAGTTACGCATGTTTGCAAATGTTGTAAACTACAGCATGGGGAGCTCTTGGAAAGCTACGAATGATTTCATTTCCAATATTTGCGCATTATGGAAAAGTAGGCATATTGCAGACAACAGCTTTTTAGTAATGCAAACACACTGCGAAACACCTCCATGAAAGGGGTGCAACAAGCTGTGTGCTCTGATCTTCGTCCATGCTTTGGGAAAGGGAGGGGGGGCTGCGCCAACCCAACCTTCCCCCTATTTCGTGATGTGAACACACTGCAAAACAAATCCATCAAGGGGTGCAAGAAGCTACGCGTGAACACGGGGTGCTGCGCCCGCCCCAACCCCCTGCTATTTCGTAA